AAGCCACTATGTGAATGCTGGGATTTGAACTTGAACCACTGAGCCAAATCTCCAGCCCATGTTTTTTTTTTTTTAACTTTTAATTTTTTTTTTATGTCTATGGGTGTTTTGCCTGTGTGTATGTCTGTGTACTACTACATGTGTGCCTGGTGGTCTTGGAGGCCAGAATCCCTCCCCTAGAACTAGAGTTACAGGCAGTTGCGAACTACATGTAGGAGATGGGAATAGAACCCAGATCCTTAGGAGGGACAGCAGGTGCTCTTAACCACTGAGCCATCTCTCCAGTCCCAAAGTCTTTTACCTGGGGAATAAGAGACTCTTTATTGATGTTTTAGACTTATAATTTAATATAAGAAAAGTCAGCAGAGTTGAAATAGAGATCAATGGTCTATTTTGTGTGGTGGAATTTACCTATAAAACAAAGATGGACAAGTTCCTACAACTGGAAACAGTAAACAGAGGGCAGTTCCATCGAGAGTTGCATATGAGTGAATGTTTGACTTTCCTGGTGGTGTAAAATTTTTGTATTAAGCCAGGTATGGCATCTTACATGTGAAGCAGAGGCAGATGGATCTCCTGTGAGTTTGAGGCAGCCTGGTCTATAGAGCAAATTCTAGAGTAGCCAGAGTTATAGAGTGAGACCCTGTCTCAAAAAACAAGCAACAACAAAAAAGACATAAATTCAAATTTCAACTCTTGGACTGGAAAGATGGCTCAGTGGTTAAGAGCACTAACTGCTCTTCCAGAAGACCCAGGTTCAATTCCCAGCACCCACATGGCAACTCACACCTGTCTGTAACTCTAGTTTCAGAAGATCCAGCACCCTCACACATACACCAATGAATATAAAATAAAAATAAATTATGTATTTTTAAAAAATTTAACTCTTACTGGAGGCACTAAGGGATCTTTCTGTATATACACACAATTAAATTGCATACCTTTGTTATTTTTATTTTTATTATTATAAAAATTATTATAAAATACAAACACATTTTACACTAATTTTCTAACGTACAGTGGAGAGAGGCCGACTTTCAGATCTTGGCTTCAGTGCTATACCAAGGAGGAGCCTTAGTACTGACTATGTTTTAGAACCTAGTTCTTTGTTATATGAGGAAATAGTGATTTAATTTAATAGTTATTTAAAATGGTGTTATTTTGAATATATTATTTAAATAATAAATGTTCTCAACAAATTATAAGGGAAAGAAATAATGAACACATTTCTGATTATAGTGCAAGCAGGTCTTTTGTCAGTCATTAAAAACAATAGAAATTACCTATATGTTTAGAAATTAACACACTTCTAATCTTGCATATGTAAATGAACAGCATGATGCTGGGTAAGTGATCAGTATATGGTCAGCATCAGCCATTATTAGAATTAGTATAATTGACCTTCTATATCCATCCACAATCAATCAACTATGGATCAAAAATATTGGGGATAAAAAATTATGTCTATCCTGAACATATACAGACCTTTTTCCTTTAGCTTATTCTTTACAGTGTAGTGTAACAGTTGCTCTCATAGCTGTTCTGTGTTTTAGGTACTATAAGTCATTTAGAGATTATTTAAACTCATGCACTTGTGTCCAGCATGCAGCCTATGGGCTGCATGTGCTGCAGGACAGCTGTGAATACAAATACAAATACAATACAAAATCATAAATCTGAAACATTAGGAGATTTTTAATTTTATTTTAATTCTGTGCTTTGCTTTATAAAGTGACTATGTGATTCAAGAGTGTGACTTTGAGGATGACAGTGTTGTGTTGAATGTCAGAAAGTTCAGAATGTGAACTATGGAGGGTGATTTGCATAGGCTATATGCAAATACTGTGCCATTTAAAAGACTTGATCATCCATGGGATTTGTTTGATTTAGTTTTGGTTTTGGTTTTTCAAGACAAGGTTTCTCTGTGTAGCCCTGGCTGACTTCGAACTCACTCTGTAGACCGGGCTGGTTTCAAACTCAGAGATCCTCATGTCTCTGCCTTCCAAGTATTGGGATTAAAGGTATGCGCCACCACTGCCCAGCTATCCATGAGATTTTATTTTCTGGGGGTAATGGTATCGTGACACCAAGGGGTAACTGTTAGTATTGAAGCTGAATTATATCAATTTAGTGCATATTTGTTCAATACTCTTTGGTAATTTCATATGTGAATATAGTATATTTAGATCATAGCTATTTGCCCTCCCCTTCCTCCTAAATCTCCCTTACAACTTCATGTCAAAGTCTTTTTTTTTTTTTTTTTAAATAACTCACCAAGTCCAATTAGTGCTTCCTCCCTGCCCACATAAAATGTGCCTAGATAAGGGAAATTCAAGAAAAGAAAAGGCAACATAGGGTAAGACCTTGTAAAGCAGCTAAAACTTTTTACTAAATTCAGCTTTAAGCTTCCGGTAGCCAAAGAAGTATGGGAAACATCTTTCTAAGACTCAGAATGGTTGGACAAAAATGGCAGATAAAGTTTTCAAGAAAACATGCTTTTTCTGGTATTACAATCTGAGCAAAATGTGTATCAATGAAGGATAGACTATGTGTGTAATACAGAACAGGAGTCAGGCAACCATGTGGAAAACCTGGCCCACCATTTTGCTTTTGTAAATAAAATTTTATTGGGAAAGAGCCATGCCTCCTCCTACCCTGCCCTCTTCCTTTTTCTTTTCTTTTTTTAAATTTTCTCTTATTTTTTATTTTTTAAGACATGGTCTGGTATAGCCTACCTAGTCTGGCCTGGAACTTACCATGTAGCTGATGGTGGTATTGACCCACTGTCTCTGCCTCCTGAGTGATGGGATTATATGTGTTCACCACTACACCCAGCTCTTTTTGTTTCTTTGTTTTCTAAGGTTGGTTGGTTTGTTTTAGTTTTTTGTTCACATATGGCTGCGTCAGTATTCTTGTGAAGGGTTGAATAGTTGCAACAGAGATGTAGCTCACAAAACCCAATATGCTTAATATCTGGAAGATGTTTGCGAACTCCTGACTTAGGGATGACTCCTTAGCCACACCCCTGCTCCCCAAATCATACAAATTTGTAGCAGCATCCCTCAGGCTGGGGAGTGATTTCCAGGGTACTTAGGTGAGAAACAACCCTACTAAAGGGACCTAGAAAGCAGGCCCTGTGAGCTGCTCTTGGGTGTTAAGTGCTGAGCCCAGTCTCCCTTGATTAACTTGCTCTGATTTAATGTCAGAGCATGGTACCTGTTCCTAAGCCTTAGTGCTTGTGCACAGATTATTGCAGGCTACCTCTTGCTGTACTTCCTCTGGGTGTTTATGGTGCCCCTATGTGGTTGGCCTTTTCTTGTGTTGTTTTTGTTTTGCCTTGCTTTTTAAATCACTGAGCCTTGTGGTGGGAAGCACAATGGTGCTTCTAGAGCCAGGGCATTTTTTTTTTTAATCTCCTGGGACAGCTGGTAATATCTAGAAACATTCTGACACATCTGTGGCTAGTATTACTGACATCTAATGTGGGAGTGGGGCCGCTGCTCACCATCCTACAGTGCACAGGCCACCCTATGACAAAGACTCATTTGATCCCAAGTGACAGTAGTGCTGAGATGACAAGCCCTGTTTTAGAAATAGCAATATTTACATCATCTAACAATATCTGATAAGAGAAGCCTCTGTCTGAAGGAGGCATTCAAGAACTGTAAGTTAAGACTTTTATTCTTTTTTAGAAGTACTCTGAAAGGCGCAGTCATTCTTTGTAAACATTTGGTCTGGGATGTAACCTTTACTGGCTGCTGCAGGGATTTTAGGTGCGCGGACATAGTCCTGCACTTGAGGACCCTTAGAGGAAATGAGACAGGTAGACTACTTTTGTGAGCAGTTTCCTTAGCAGGCTCAGTGAAGTCTGCCACTTGGGGGCTGGTGTGGGGCTAATCAGGAAACAGTGAGGGATCAGCATTTCAAGGTGAAGTACCCATTGAGGTGGTGGATTTTAGCCAGTGAGATAAGGAACCACTGGACAACAGAACTCAGTACTATACAAATGAGATTGTTTGATTGGAAGGGTAGACTTGGTGAATGGTTGGTGTTGTGTTGAAATCACAAGTCAGACATATGTTCTGTAGCGTTCACAGTGTAGTGGCACACAGAGCAACAGGGTAGCAAGGTTGGAGCTGAACCCTGTCCAGCCTTCTCAGATGGAGGGGGACATGACCTAGTACACGTGAATTTCCTGAGGGGAGGCCAGAGGACTAGGCCTCTCAGGATGAACCTAGAGGCGAGAACTTGCAGGTGCCTCTGAGGTTTGAACCTGGGCTGTCAGAAAGCTGAATGTGCCACTGACAGATATAGGAACAGAGGACTGGGGTGGGAAGGCTGAATCGTGGTTGATGGGACGTCCCTCCTGGGATGCCAACCCATTTGTCTTTCCCAAATGTCTTTCTTCCTTCTCTCAGTCTCCTTGGGGATGATTTTGACTTCTGTGTTTGGCTTTTCTTTTCTTTTTTTTTTTTTTTTTTTTTGAGACAGGATATCACTGTATAGTTCTGGCTGACCAGGAACTTTCTATGTAGACCAGGCAGGCCTCAAACTCACAGAGATCCACCTGCCTCCAAATGCTGGGATTAAAGGGGTACACTACTTTGCCCAGCCTTCTGTGCTCTTTTTATGGGAATTTCCTTTGATGCCAGCCTTGTGGTTTGAGTCTAGTACTGAAGTGGTTGCTTTGGTTTTAGGATTATTGTGATTGCCTGGTCTCTCTGTCTGCCTTGGTTTAGAGGATATAAGTCCTTAATTTCTATGACAAGGTAGTGCACCCAGGACTGGGTGTGGTTTCTAGACTCCTTTGGCTCTTCCAGCAGGGACCAATGGGGACTAAGAATGGGAGGGATGGAACAAACCATATGTGTAAGTAGCTTTAATGTGTATGCATGAATATCTATATAATGCCTGTTGACTTAATAAGCCAGGATAGTTATTTACTGTTTCCTTTTGGTTCATTTTTGGATCCATGTACTAATTTTTTTACCCCTTTGCAGGCATCTATGGACCAAACAGCTGCTCTGGTGTTGGATGGTGCCAGTTTGGGGATGAGCACATGCCAGTCCATGGATAGAGGTAGCAACCAGACCTTTGGGAACTCCCAGAACGTAGGAGAACAGGCCTTTCCCACTGCAAACTCTGACTGCAGGTGAGCTTCAGAGTGCCTAAGCTGATGCTCCTGTTGGGCGGGGAAAGTCCAGCCAAGGGCATAGTAGTTGGGAGGCCAAAGCTTTGGGTCACCTTCTGACTGCTGCACATCACACGTGGGACCCTGAGGGAGTCAGTCCTCATAGCCAAGTGACAAGGTGGAGGATCTGTGTTCTCTCAGAGATGCATCACACATGATGTCGGTCCTGGTCATGGTGGTGCCCATGGCATCATGCTTTGCAAAGGTGATATGCAGTCAGTAAGGAAATGCAGAAACAGTGGATGAGTCACACATTGCGGGTAAATGAGACCTTTCCTAAGAATCCAAAGGAGAAGGGTACTGCCTATGCCTCAGTTGCTTAGTAAGTGTCCCAGCTTTTTTGTTTGTTTTAAGTCAGGGTCTCTTTATTATGACTTAAAACAGTTCTCTCACTCTGTAGACTAGGCTGGCCTCAAACTCAGAAAGATCTACCTGCCTCTGTCTCCAAAGTGATGCTGGAACTAAAGGCATATGCCACAGTGCCTAGCTGTGTCCCAGCCTCCCCACCCCTCACCCTCCACCCCCCGCCCCCCACCCCGCCCCGCCCCCAGACAGGGTTTCTCTGTGTAGTTTTGGTGCCCATCCTGGATCTCATTCTATAGACCAGGCTGGCCTCGAACTCACAGAGATCTGCCTGGCTCTGCCTCCCAAGTGCTGGGATTAAAGGCGTGCGACATGACCACACAACTTTGTGTCCCAGCTTTTTAAAAGCATAAAGTAGAGTTGATGAGACGGCCAGTGTATAAAGAGACTTGCCATGCAAGCCTGATGACTTAAACTTGATCCTGGAACCCATGCCAGTGGAGAAGAAAAGTACCAACTCCACAAAATTGCCCCTCTGACCTACATATGCACACACTGATAGTTTTTAAAGGTAAAAGTATTTTTTAATCAGGATCCAGGCATGGTGTGCACACCTTTAGTCTCAGCACTTAGAAGGCAGAGGCATGTGGATCTCTGAGTTCAAAGGCCACCTAGTCTACAGAGTGAGTTTCAGGACAGCCTGGGCTACACAGAGAAACTATCTCGAAACGCTCTCCCACCCTCCAAATTTTTTCTTCAGTCAGGGTCTGGGGATGTACCTCATTTGGTAGAGTGCTTGCCCAGCACACAGGAAGCTCTGAGTTCCAGCCTTTATGCTTTCTTATACACGTAGCCGTAACCCCTGCACTTGTCAGATAAAAGCAGGAGGAGCAGAGGTTCAAGATCATTCTTGGCTACATAGTGCATTTGAGGTCAGCATGGGATGTATGAAACTTGTCTCAAGAGAAAAAAACGACCCCCATAATTGTACGTGTTTATGGGGTATGTGCCCTAGGTTTTGATGCCATTGTCAGTTTTGAGAAACTTACTTTCTTGGCTATGGATGGCAGTTCTACTTAACCTGTTCTTCCTGCCTCACTGTATTGACTGAGCAGACTTAGCTGTGTGCTCTGAGAAACATGACATGTACACCCCTTTCCCTGGGAGCAGCTGGTGCTCTTGGCTCCTCACTAGCTGGTCCCTGTCGGCAGTCACTGACGTTCCTTATGCCATAAGCTCTGTACTGATTTTGCCTCCACTGCATCCACCACTGAGTGTTCATTTGGACTAGTAGAGGCCATGCTTGTTCGGTGCTAACTTTTCTGCTCTGCCTTCTCTCAGGCCCAAGTCCTCACCATACCTGGCTGGCTTTTGGTTCTAGCCGTGGAGGAGATTGGGGAGCTGCTCAGTGTGCAAGAGGAAAGTACATCCATGTGCTTCCTCATTGCTCAGGAGGGTAGAGAGGGAGGGTTTTTTTTTTTCTGTTTTTGGAAGAAAGAGGAACTGGAATGTAAGCTAGAGGTGAGGAGACCAAAAATGCTGTAGTAAGCCAAAGCAGGACGCCTGACTGACAGTGACGCAATGTGCATCCCATTTCACGATAGGGAACTTAGTAGCAGTGGGTACAGTTGCATTGGGAAAAGCTGAGTCCTCTGCCTTTGAAGGTGTTAGCTTAGGCCTTCTCTTGACTACACACTTGAGCTCAGATTCAGGATTAGAAGGAAATTCTCTTCAAAGGTTTTGAAAGCTCTTTCTAACCCTGAGATTCTGATTTTAGGTTTTTATTGTGCTGGGGATTAACACAGGACTTGAGATTCTGAAATGCTGCATTGAGTCCTGAAACCCCTCCCAAAATAGGCACTCAGAAGACTGTGGAATAGAAGAAAGGGAAAAGTTTGGGGAGTTTCTGATTGAGACCCAGAACTAAGTAGTTTGGTGTGGGGGAAGGGGGGCCCTCAGCTGCTGAGCAGACTCTTTTTTTTCTTCTAGATCTCCCCATCCCCATCTATGAAATAGGTCTTTCCATGTAGCCTTAGTTGGTCTCAAACTCATGATCCTCCCAACTCAGCCCCTGGAGTGCTGGGATTATAGCCAAGTGCCACCACAGCTGAGTTAAGCGTGTTTTAAGCACCGTCACACCTTCAAGGCAGAACTTGGGCAGCAGATGGTAGGAAGAGCGGGACTTTGGAATGTGACTCGCTTGATTGAAATCTGGATTCCGATGCTTCCCAGCTCTTGCACCAGTTCATTTAGCTAGTCTGACTTGCTTTAGTGTCGGCTACCATTGTAGCTGTTTATCAGTCTCATGCCTTGGTTAACCCCCAACTATCCTGAAAGACATGAACAACACTGTTCCTGTTTTCAGATAAAGAAATAAAGACCAAGAAAATCTAGGGGTCCTACAGCTGGCTAGTGATAATTCCAGGGTTCTTTCCTGTAAGCTCTCACTTAAATTATCACACAGCACTCTTGGATTGGCCAAGGTTAAGTAACATGTGAGAGGCCATCAGGCAAAATCAGAGCAGCCACGTCTTCTAGGAAACATAATTATTAATGATGCTAGAGATGTGTCTCTGCTTCAGAGCTGTCATGCTCTTCAGAGAACGTTAGCTGAGTCCCAGCACCCACATTAGGTGGCTCATAACTGCCAGTTTCAGGGAATCCAAAGCCTTCCTCTGACTTTCACAGGAAGAATATAAATAAAAGAATAAAAATGAAAGAGAAATGTGATTGAGAAGGAGATGCTTTTTAAGGATGCTGTGTTTAGATACAAAACCACTTTGCCTTTTAAAAATGTGTATACATAATTTGGAAATAGGAATACATTGTGAACTAGCCTCAGGATGTAACTGTCCAGAATTTTCCTGACTGTCTTAAGTTTCAATATTCTACTGGTGTCTGGCTCCAGAAGAAGCAGAGATTATGTGGGCTGGTGTCACTTAGAGGAGGAACACTTGTTCACCATGCATGAGGTCTTGGGTTCAGCCCACAGCACTGAAACAAAAACCCACTCTTGGCTGTGTTATACTTTGTGTTACAGCTCTCAGCAGCATGTAGCAAGCTCTCTGACATCATCCTCTACCCTGGTGGAGATTCTGGAAGCCATGAAGCATCCCTCGTAAGTGACTAGGCACATTTATGAAGCAAAAGCAGACGATCCCTGAGGGAAGGCTTGCCATGGTGGTGTGGGTGGGTAGATTTATACCATACTCTGCCACTTACTAGCTGTGAGATGTGGGTAAGTTACCTGACCTCCCTGAGCCTCTGCCACCTCATTTATACAATGAGTTTTTTAAATCATATTTTATGTACTTACTTGTGGGGAGCTAGAGGGCATGCACGTGTCTGGGTTCTTGTACACAGTTATAGATGGAAGTCAGAGGGCAGCTTGCGAGAGTTGATCCTCTCCTTCCAAATGAATTTAATTCTCTAGAAGTTGAATTTAAGTTGTCAGGTTTGGTGGCAGGCACCTTTATGTACTGAGCATCTTGGCAGTCCTTACCATGTGTTTCTACACACATGGTAATGAAATGATTAAATTATTTTGTGAAGTATTTAGTATAATGCCTTGTAGCAGGAATCTTAGAAGGTCTTATTAATAAGACCAAACCTGAAGCCAGTTATTGGGGTGAATGCTGGAAGATCAAAGAAGCAGAACAAGCCACAGCTACCTCACCTCGCCAGTTCCTCAGCTGGTCCTGTTTCCTCAGACTGGAAGCCTCTGAGTCCTCTTCCAGAATGAATCTCAGCTGAACTGATGCTCAAAAGCCTGAAAGCTTAACCAGCCAAATGTTTCTAGTTTCTGGTCCTCATGCCTTATATACCTTTCTGCTTTCTACCACCACTCCCTGGGATTAAAGGCTCACTTTCTGGGCTTAAAGGCATGAGTCACCATGCTTGGCTGTATCCTTGAACACATGGATTTCTGCCTCTGGAATGCTAGGATTAAAGGCGTGTGCTACCACTGCCTATCCTCTATGTTTAATATTGTGGCTGTTCTGTCTCTGACCCCAGATAAGTTTATTAGTGTGCACAATATTTTGGGGGAACACAACACCACCACAATGTATTTTCTAAATGTCCCTTCTTCTCTCAGTTCTTTTTTCCTGTCATCGGGGTTCCCTCAGCCCAGGAGTTATGTGGAGAACCCTCCCTTCAGACAGTGCATGCCCTTGTGGAGA